TAGACACAATCAAGTAGCAAATATAATACACCAAGAGCTTGCAAAGAAACACAAATTGGTAGACATCCACGAACCATACTACAAGTATATTCCACAAACAGTATTGGAAAACAACACGCACAAAATGTACTATGACAGAGCCATAGTCACAGATAAAGCAATTTACCACAACAGACCAAACATCACACTCATTGACAAACACAATAAAATCACATACAATATAGACATAGCCATTCCAAACACTCACAATGTACAAGACACATTCACTGAAAAAATTAGCAAGTACACAGAACTCACCCAGGAAATAAGGCATCTGTGGAGGATGGAAAGGGTGCTTATTGTACTTGTCATTCTCTCCTGTACAGGTGTGATACCACACACACACACACAAGCAAGCCTGGGAACATTACAAATGAATAGAAATACATACATCACACTACAGAAGGCCACTATATTGACTACATGCTACATTGTTAGGAAATTCCTGAATACAGACGCTGACACACTTATTTAATTTTAGTTTTTGGTTGCTATGCCTTGACTCTGGTCTGGTGTAGTTTACAGTCACCAGTGTGTACTGACTATAACCCACTAAACCTCAAATGGGCAGTTATTTATTGTTATAAATGAGCAGTTATTTATTGTGACATTGTGATAATGCTTGAATGAATTTTTAATCATATTCTTAATTTATTTAGTCTAAAATATATGCTTTCCACCTGAAATTAGTATGTAGTGTCTTGTCCCTGTATATCATACTTTTCCTTTTACAATAGAGTCGTTTCAGTCAATAACTTCCAGTTTGCATCGAAGTTCATATATATTGGGTTGTTCAGAAAGTCATTTAGTTTTTATTACTGCTAGACGGATTAGTCGTATTTTTCCCGCCATTTTCATTCTAAACCATATTATCATTATATATTTTGACAGCTAGCATTTTAAGGCTTATATGTAAAAAATTTTGTTTGATTTTGTGCAATTGTTCATATTTTGTGTCCCATCAAATACGGAAGATCGAAAGCAGCATTTTCAGCATATTTTGCTCTTTTATTACCGAAAAGGTAAGAATGCTGTTCAAGCGAGAAAAAAATTGTGTGACGTGTATGGAGAAGATGTATTGACAGAACGACAGTCCAAAACTGGTTTACAAAATTTTGTTTTGTCAATTGAAATATTGAAGATGCACCACGTTCTGGATGGCCAGTCGAAGCCAATGAAAACAAAATAAAGGTACTGATTGAAGCAAACTGCTGAATAACAGCAAATCATTAAGAGATTAAATTTGTCAAATTGAACTGTTTATGATTACTTGAAACAAATTGGTTTCATTTCAAAGCTTGATATATGGGTTCCACGTGTTTTTAAAGAGAGATGTTCTCTTTGGTGGGATTTTAAGGAAATTTTTTTGGAGCTTTTACCAGACAATTTAACAATTGATTCGAAAGTGTACTGCCATCGAGTAAACAAATTGAGTAATATCATCAAACAGAAAAGGCAACCAGAATTGATCAACAAAACAGTGTAGTGTTTTACCACGATAATGTCAAATTTCACACAAGTTTGGTAACTCGTCAGAAACTGTTATAACTTAGATGGGATGTGCTATCACACCAACCATATTTGCCAGATCAAGCACACTCAGATTATTACTTGTTCTGGTCTATACAAATTTTTTTAAACTGTAAGACATTTTTGTGAAATGACAATGTCAAAAATCACTTAAATCAGTTTTTTGTAAGCAACGATCAAAACTTTTATGAATGTGAAATCATGCTACTACAACAATGCCACAAACAATGACAACAGGTATTTGACCAAAATGGTCGATATATAATTCAGTAAAATATTTATTATAAAAACATTTTTTTTTCCCACAGAAAAAAACCGAAATTACTTTCTGAACAACCCAATAGTTAATTGTGACCTCCTGCCCCTTATGTTTTCATATCTGGTCTCGGATTTTCAAGTATCTAACTCTATTCTCAAGATTAAGGAAAGATGGGCAGATGGATGACACTGGGAATTTATAGGTCTACAATTTTTTGAAATTGTAGCCCAACAAATTGCAGGTAAACAGCATGTGTCTGGTGATAACCTTACAAGTTGCCAGATAGGTTTTATAAAAAGTAAAGCAGAATTCCTCTAATGTAACCCAAATTATTTTTAATGTGGCCCAAAAAGTAGTAAATTGCCCAAATGTAGTAGCCTAGAGACCTACAAATCTTTATCTGCTACTTGTAGCCAATCTATCAATCTCGAAAATCAATTGTATTTTATGAGATAAAAGAGGGTAGTCCATAGGTAAGGTGACACTTGAAAATGTGTTTCTGTAAAAGTAAAGTCATGTTGACCAGATTAGAGTTGTTGTTGGTCTATTGTTCTCTTATAGTATAGTATGGAGGCATTTCAATCTAAATGGACAAGTTAACATATGCATATCATTGTTTGGACAGAATTTTCACTTTGAATTTCAAAGTAGCCATATTTTGAACTAATTGAATTCCTTAATTAATTAATATGTAAATCTCTCTATCCCCAGCTGGACAAAAATACAATTACAAACTAATAGGATTTTTGAATTATCCAAGTTCAAATTAAAGATGATTTCCTGTACCTGAAACATTCCAAGTGTTTTCAAGAATATAAATATTTAGACTTATTTATTTAATGTTAATTATTGTTTATTAGATAAATGATGCCCAGAAAAAAGTAATTGTAATCTGATTATACTGGTATTTTCTGTTTGTTTATATAAATCTAATTGGATAATATATAAAATATCATAATTTAATGAAGTTTACCTTCTGACTTCAATATATTGATCATACTATGATAACTGCATTAAAAAATTGGAAAATTTATTAAGTTTGAAATAGATAAAATTCATAAATTAAAAATATGAAACAGATGATTTCATTAAAATAATTTTGTTTAGAGAGGTTTAAAATTTATTGTGTAGTATTAATTATGAAATGTATTAATATTTTATAATTAGTTTAGAAACTGTATATTTACATTTTCAGTAAAATATTAAGTATATATGGAACATTTTAAAAATAGGAAATCATTATTTTATGTATTGAATAGTTAAAAAATATTTCACCAGTAAATATTATAAACTAATAACATTAAATGTAATTTACAATTTGAAAAATATAATTCTGACACTTATCTTTAAATTTTAAGAGTTTTCAAGTTTTTGTATAATTGTTAAATAAAAATTTTAATATAGTTCTTAATAAATTGTAGCAAAAAATATAAATATGTATATATTACTAATAAATTATAGGTAGATCAAATAGTCCTCCCCATTGGATGAAATCATTACAACAGCTAACAGTGGATGATGTACCAACAGGTTACAATAATCATCATATGCCATATGTGACTCCATTTGTATACAGAGGTAAGCTTTAAATATATATAAATACATACATATTAAAGCTCAATATATAATTTTTATTGGTATATTGAATTTAACTATGTTTAAAATCTTATTGACTTCAGTCAATTATTTTAATTTTTTGTTTTCTTGAGATAGTCATGCACTGCATAATGTCTGTTACAGCAACATCCAACTGCATACATCCATGGTTTCATAAGGTTATAATAGAGATTATAATATTAGAGGTCAGGAAAGTTTGATCACTGAAAATCTTGATATTGGCCTAATCTAGCAAGAAAATGTGGTTGATATAAGAGGAAAGCATGTTAATTTAAGGACTTGGCAACTCTAATCTAATTTCTCTTTTGTATAAAATGATTGCATTGCCAGGTGTAAATTGTATAACCAGCATTGCCAGATCCTAAAATTTAGTGTCCAGAAAAACTTGCAGAAAGATTTCAGATTTTCCCAGATTTAAAATTTAAATTTGTGTTAAAAAGTATTTTATAATTTATTATTATAATCCTTTTATTATATGTATGTATGTATTTTGTATTTATCTTATAATTTTTAACTTTATTTTTTTAGTTTTTAATTATTTTAATTATTTGTGTTTTATTGTTGAATGTCATTTATTACTTATGTTTTTATGGGGTGAATTACTTGTTTTGTTGGGATAGTTATCACATGCTATATAGTATTGTGTTGCAGATATACATGATAAATATTATATAACAAATAAAAAGATTGGCGCACAGGAATTATTACATAATAAACATTTTTTTATTAATACTGTATGTGTACAGTACCTTAGCTATTTAGTTAATATAGGTAGTGTACACTATAGTATCCTATACAGCTATACTCTGTATGTATATAATGTGTTCACCTCATATAATGTCNACATACATATTAAAGCTCAATATATAATTTTTATTGGTATATTGAATTTAACTATGTTTAAAATCTTATTGACTTCAGTCAATTATTTTAATTTTTTGTTTTCTTGAGATAGTCATGCACTGCATAATGTCTGTTACAGCAACATCCAACTGCATACATCCATGGTTTCATAAGGTTATAATAGAGATTATAATATTAGAGGTCAGGAAAGTTTGATCACTGAAAATCTTGATATTGGCCTAATCTAGCAAGAAAATGTGGTTGATATAAGAGGAAAGCATGTTAATTTAAGGACTTGGCAACTCTAATCTAATTTCTCTTTTGTATAAAATGATTGCATTGCCAGGTGTAAATTGTATAACCAGCATTGCCAGATCCTAAAATTTAGTGTCCAGAAAAACTTGCAGAAAGATTTCAGATTTTCCCAGATTTAAAATTTAAATTTGTGTTAAAAAGTAATAAAATCTTACAACACATATGGAATAATTACATAATAAACATTTTAAGTAATACTGTGCGTATAGTACCTTGGCTATTTAGTCAAAACAGGTACAGTACAATATACAATCCAAATTTTGTTAAGTTCATATATAATATGATGTTTATACAACATCCAATTTTAAAGGAAATATCATGGATGTTAAATGATGCATGATTGTATTTGATACATTTATTCACATTAAAATCTATACACACTGATTTTACAAATTTCTCACGTTTTAAAAAATAATCAATGATTTCTTTTTGTGTTTTGTTGAAATATTTAGGGAAAACGAACAAAATTAATCCAGTTTAAGTAGAGTTAAATTAGCAAGCACTGTACTCATTTATATCAATTCATGTTTTGAAAAATCGCATAATTTGACCTGAGAAAAGTAATGTAGTCACTTATATAATGAACATCTTCACTTAATTTTAGCAAGATTGATTAATGGAGTAACAATATTGATTTGTAAAACTAAATAGTATAGAAGGAGAAAAAGAAAAAAATTATAAATAATTATTACAATACTTAATTTATTTATTTCATTTATTTTAATAATATCAAAAGATAAATTTTTATCTGCAATATTTGAATTAATCATTTTGCAATTCTTTATTGAATATAAAAATTCTTAGGAAGTAAAACTTTTCTAAATGTAATTTTTATTGCTTGAAAATATTTTTTTCATTCTAAAAATAAATGAATGATATTTCATGTACAATATTAATAAAATGTAAAAATAATAAAACCATTTGTAGCTAGGAAGAATTTTCATTAATATTTGTATGTTGTTACTAGTTTTATTGTAAATATTTCTAAATCATGAAAGTAAGTTTATTGTAAATCATATATCTTTCAATTTATAGCTTTGTACATTACATAATAGTCTTTATAACTTTCTTAATATCTTTCTACAAAAGAATAACACTTCAAAAATGCAACTAAACATATTTTTTACCCAGAAATAAATTCAAAGTTGTTTAGTCATCGANGCAATCGATCACCACATTATTGTGATAATAATTTTATGATAAATTTCCATGTTAATAGCTGTTTTATTTATGTCATAATTCTAATTCAGTTAAATATTTAACAATCTGAAATTTCTAAACAAGTAAATCTTATAATAAACATGTCCTTAAAATTTTTAGTATTAAAATAAAAAAAATTAATTATTATGAGACTTTAAATTTTATGTATTTTCCTAAAGAAGGTCCATCAAAGGACCAAAAAGATTAGATGATCAGTAAATGTTAGTTACTGCATATTTAATGGCTATGTGTTTGTTATTGTGATAGTGCAGTTATGGAAAGGATTAAACATCAAAAACTTCACAAATTTATATTAGTTCTTTCTTGCAGTAGACATTATTAATTTATTTTTTTTATTTTTCCCCTTTTTATTTTAGATTTTGACACATTTGATACTGAACAGCAATAAATAATAAAATTTACTCATACAATAATTAATTTGCATCTCACTGTCAAATTAATTATTGCATTTAATTTTATGTAATTAAACACCACTAAATATTGTTGGATGATGAAACCTTCACATCTTAGAATATTATATTGGATATACAGCAAGGTCTCACTTAATGTCATTTTACTATAACATTGAGAAATATATATATATATTTGTAATTGCTTGTACTTACTTTTGAATTTTCTTTATAAACAGTAAAATTGACTTTGAGGTGGAAATGCTGGTATTTGCACACACAATCCAATAAGAACAGTAATCAAATTTTTTTGTTGAAATATGATTAATATAATTTGCCATCATTATACTTTCATCTTTTTTCAAATAATGCAAACCTACACAGTATATCCACATTAATAACACATTAACATTAAATGTCTTGTGTGAATTGCAAAAAACTTGCCCTGTTTGCATTTGCCATCTAAATTTAAACAATATTCTCTGTATTGGGGAATTTCTGATTATTTTTGAACTGCATTATAGTAGGAGGTATGTTGTATAATTTTTGCTTTTCAAACATTAATGCTTTATTACTCATCTTTACCTGTCACCAGTGATGATAGGTAAAGATCTAAGCTCTGTATTATCCAACACTGATTATGATTGCTATCACTTCTCAAAATTGGGTAAATAATTATTTTATTTGTTTTCTGTAATCTTTCTTAAATGTAATATTATTAATAAAATATAAAGCTCACATTTATTATTCAATATTTAATATTAGCTTTTTGAGCTTTATTTAGATGTTTGGTGATGATTTTATGACCAAAACTATGCTGTAGAGACTTGACTTTTATTTATATCTTATTTTTAGCATATACTAAAAATTAGTTTCATTATTTGTTGTTTCCCTTAAAATTGCGGTTGTGAGATTACGAGGGCACAGGGTCAATACCCTACTTGCCTCTTACACATCGAGTTGGTAAAACTCGTCCACTTTGACTTTTGGATGGCTTTTTATCGAGGAGCAAGGGGTGAGAAAGTCGGCTGGTATTCATGGTTCAGAGTGACTGGAGACAGGTTTAACAAATAATGAAATAAACGTTTATTATACGGCTAACACTAAAATACAGGAGGCTACACAGAGTTAAATGCATATATCTCTAGATTATCTAGGCTAGATGCGATTAACATAAGGTTACAAAGTCTATGATTGACAACTGCTTAGTCTACTCTATGACAGCTATGCCTACTTCCTTTACAAAAGAGAGAGTTCACAGTCTGCTGATAATTACCTCTAAAGTTGAGTGCTATATGTAGTGATAATAGTTCTTTATGGAAGCGTTGGGCATTGTCGATGTCTTCTACCAGTGTTTCTCCAAGGACTAGGTTGAGTCCGTTGCATGGAGATGCAGGAAACAGGGAACCACTAAGACCAAATATAACTTTTGTGTGTGAACTCTCGAGCTTCTTGTGGCTCACACCTTTTATATGATTGTCATGGGAAATCTAACGTGTGATCGACTTTTGTTGATGATGACGATGCAATCTTGATAGCCACTTGTCAACTTTCCCACTGACTTGTTACTAAAACCGGTGACCCCTGATCTAATTCCTACCTCTCCGTTTTTTCCAACAAAGATGTTTACATTTTGAAAACAATTAATATTAATTTTTGATTTGAAGAACGCCATAAAAACCTGCTGGCTCACAGAATTTCCAAGAACCTATTTACAATGTTAAACAAGGACTAATTTTATTAAATTTATTTGATGGGCATTTCTGCTGTATATAAAGTTTATTATTATAATTAAAAATTTATCAACATTTTATTTTTACGTTCAAGTATGCATTTACAATAGAAATTGTAATATTCAAGAGTACCAATAATTATAAATAATTGTTCATATGTAATATTTTGAATAATTTCCTAAGTTGGTTTATTATATTTGTTGTAAATTTATGTATTTCTGTGCATTTTAAAAGTTAACTATAATCTATATATATAAAAATGAATATCTGTATGTCCTTCATGCATTACCACACCGTTTATCCGATTGCCATGAAACTTTGAGAAATTTTTTAATACACTCCCGCGAAGGTTTCTGGCATAGTACATTTATCCTACAATAGATGGTGCGAGTGTGGACGAGCATTTCATCGTGAATTCGATCGATCTCAAATTGTGAAGATCATTTTCCCCTCCAAAAAA